GTCTTTATGCCCAGGAGGGGATATTCTTACGAAGACTCCACCCGAACTGAACTAGATGATCAGTACATTGGTTGCCAAAGATCATTCCTGGGGGCAGAGCAGTAGAGGCAGGAATTCCCGGGATCTTGGTGTGCACGCCAATGGAGACCAGGTCCGGGCTTGAGCAGCAGGTGGCTGAGTTAGTGCAGACATTGAAGCAGCCCAACAGTCTTATTCCGGGCAGAGGTTTGGCGGTACCTCCAGTAGCTCAATGTCAGTGGTGTGAGAGCTCGAATCACCTAGTGAAAGACTGCCAGGCTATGTGGGAGTCTTCTACCCCCCAAGAGCAATTGGACTTCATCGCCAATGCTCGGCGCCTTGACCCATACAGCAACACATACAATGAGGTGGCGCCAGCATCCCAACTTCTCTTGGAATGGCAACACCACCAAACCACCTTGTTTCCCAGCACCAGCAGGTGGGTTTCAGCAGAGGCAGCCTTTCTAGGCCAGATAGGGGCCGCCCCAACAGCAGCAGCCTTACCAGCCTAGGCAGTGGTAGCCATTCAGCAACCCCAGCGTCAGTATGCCCAGCCGCCAGCAGTTGCAGCTCTAGATAATCAGATGTCGGAGCTGGAAAATATTTTACAGGCATTCATGACCACTAGCCAGGCGAATTTCATGAGGATGGATCAGAACATAGCCTCACTAGAGGCAGGCCAGAGAAACCAAGGTGCCCTTTTGCAAGATCTACAGAATCAGATTGGTGGCATAGCTCGCCAAAACACTACCAGGGCACCGAGGACTCTGCCTGCCACTACTATTCCGAACCCTAGTGAGCCTCACCTGCACCAGCAGCTGGATGCCATCACTACCAGGAGTGGCAACACCACATCTGCTGCTCCTGCCCAGCCTAGTCAAGACGAGCCCCTACCTGCTTCAACACTTCCAGATGACAATGCAAAAGTGGGGGGGGGGGGGGGACGAGGAAGCACCTGCTCCCAAGCCATAGCCAGTGGTTAAGGAGCATGTACCCCAGCTTCCTTTCCCCACCCGCCTGCATAAAGACAAGCTGGAGACTGAATTTTCCAAGTTCATGGCAATGTTGAAGCATGCATGTAGGAAAGTCCTTGGCGGACCTAGGCACTAGCATAAATGTCATGCCCTACAAATTGTTTAAAAAGCTAGACCTAGGTGAACCTAGAGCTACTAGGATGAGTATTTAGTTAGCTGATCGTTCCATCGTGCATCGTAGGAGTATCATTGAGGATCTGCTTGTTAATGTAGGTGCATACACATATCCTGTTGACTTTGTTATTCTGGATATAAATGAGGATGTGGATGTACCTTTTGATTTTGGGTAGACCATTTCTCGCCACCGCCAAGGCGCTTATTGATGTGCATAGTGGTAAATTGATCCTACGTGCTGGTGATGAACATGCTACTTTTTCTGTGTCTGAGAATGGGAAGCACTCCCATTTGCATGATGACGTAGATTACTGTGATGTGCTTGCTGATTTTGAGACCGCACTCGCTATAACGAGTGCGGGTACTGACGATGTTCTTGAGCGTTGTATTTTGCTAGGTGAGCAGGCATAGCAGGAGCCGCAGCTGATGGAGCAGTTGGACGCGCTGGAGAGTTGCCCATTCCTGGAGGGCAACAGGCTGTTTAAACCGATCTCATCCTTACCCCGCATCACTACCTCCTTGGAGGAACCACCAGAGCTGGAGCTAAAGCCCCTCCGTCCTCATTTGGAGTTTGCATTTCTCCGGGAGGGGAATAAGCTTCCATTCATTATCAGCTCGACCCTCACAACCAAGCAGAAGGACAGGTTGGTGGGCTTGCTGAAGCGGCACGAGCGTGCTCTAACGTGGAAGATCACAGATATCCGGGGGATCAGCCCCTCCTTTTGCTCCCACCGGATACTGTTGGAGGATGAGATGTGGCCAGTGAGACAGCCGCAGAGAAGACTGACACCGAACCTGGAGGTTGTGGTTCGGGCAGAGATCGTGAAGCTGATGGACGCGGGGATCATCTTCGCCATTTCCGACAGCGAGTGGGTCAGTCCCACCTAGGTGGTACCAAAAAAGGGTGGGATGACCGTGGTGCCTAACGAGAAGAATGAGCTCATCCCGATGCGCATGGTGACTGGGTACCGCATCTGCATTGATTATAGGCGTCTCAACGATGCCACTCGGAAGGACCACTTCCCGCTGCCGTTCATTGACCAGATGCTGGAGAGACTGGCGGGGCATGAGTTCTACTGTTTCCTGGATGGGATGTCCGGGTACTTCCAGCTCCCCATTGCACCGGAGGACCAGGCGAAGACCACTTTCACCTGTCCCATTGGCACATTTGCCTACCGGAGGATCCCATTCCAACTATGTAAGCCCCCGCCACTTTTCAGCGATGCATGCTTGCCATCTTTGACCGTCTGGTCGGCGAGATTATGGAAGTGTTTATGGACGACTTCTCGGTTTATGGAGACTCCTTCTCTCACTGTCTTCATAACCTGGAACTCGTCCTTAAACGGTGTGAAGAAACGAACCTGGCACTGAGTTGGGAGAAGTGCCACTTCATGGTCCGCGAAGGCATAGTTCTGGGGCATAAGATCTCCAAGATGGGGATTTAGGTGGACAGAGCAAAGATCGAGACTATCAGCAAGCTGCCACCTCCTACATCTGTTAAGGGGATCCGGAATTTTTTAGGCCATGCAGGGTTCTACAGGCGGTTCATCAAGGATTTTTCAAAGATCGCCCTGCCCCTGACTAAGCTTGTTGAGAAGGATGCCCCCTTCCAGTTCATTGATGCATGCACAGCGGCATTCACGACCTTGAAGGAGAAGCTCACGAAAGCTCCTATCATTGTTGTTCCTTACGGGTCCCTGCCATTTGAGCTGATATGCAACGCCAGTGACTTTGCTGTTGGAGCTGTATTGGGGCAGAGGCAAGATCAGCACTTCCGACCTATCTACTACGCCTCGAAGACCCTGAATGATGCTCAGGAGAACTACACCACCACGGAGAAGGAGCTGCTCGCGGTGGTGTTTGCCTTCGATAAATTTCGTCCTTATCTAGTCTTGTCCCATGTAACCGTGTATATAGAGCACTCCGCGATTCAATACCTGATGAGCAAGGCCGATGCCAAGCCTAGGCTCATACGATGGATCTTACTATTGCAGGAGTTCGACATCGAGATTCGGGACAAGAAGGGAGCGGAGAATGTTGCAGCCGATCACCTCTCCCGGTTGGACGCACCTCCTGCGGACAACCTCGAGGAGGAGATCAACGACTCCTTCATAGATGAGAGACTGATGATGATGTACTTGGTGGAGAGTGTCACCCCTTGGTACTCCGATTTTGCAAACTATCTAGTAGGCCAGCAGCTGCCCAAGGGGATGACAACCCATACCAAGAGAAAATTTTTCTCCGACCTGAAGCACTACTTCTGGGATGACCCTCATCTCTTCAGGATCGGAGCCGACAGGATAATCCCTCGCTGTGTTATGGAGAGTGAGATGGAGGGCATTTTATCTCACTGTCATGAAGGGCCTACTGGCGGTCACCACGGAGGAAACCGCACAGCGAGGAAGGTGCTACAGTCGGGCTTCTACTAGCCCACGCTCTTCAAGGACGCAGACGCCTTCGCAAGCAAGTACGACCGATGCCAGAGGTCAGGTAACATTTCTACCCATGATGAGATGCCCCATAACGTGTTTATAACTTGTGAGATTTTTGATGTCTGGGGTATCGACTTCATGGGCCCCTTCCCTCCATCTTTTGGTAATACCTATATCCTTGTTGCTGTTGACTACGTCTCTAGGTGGACTGAGGCGCAAGCTTTGCCCACTAATGATGCTAGACGTGTTTGTGGTTTTCTGAAGCAGCTATTCTCCCAGTTCGAGACACCTAGAGCCATCATAAGCGATCGAGGCACCCATTTCCAGGTCCAGTTCGATAAGTTACTGTCTCGCTATGGTGTAACTCATAAGGTGTCCGTGGCCTACCACCCTCAAACAAATGGCCAAGCCGAGCTGACAAACCAGGAGCTCAAGCGTATCCTGGAGAAGACGGTGGATCAATCTCGCAAGGATTGGTCCACCAAGCTCAATGATGCTCTATGGGCATACTGCACTGCCTACAAGACGTCCATTGGTACTTCACCGTACCGGCTAGTCTATGGAAAGGCATGCCATTTGCCCCGTGGAGCTAGAGCACAAGGCCTTTTGGGCCCTTAAGCTGCTCAACTTGGATGTTAGTGTTGCAGGTGTTGAGCGCAAAATGCAGATGCTGGAGCTGGAGGAGTGGCGTTATCACGCCTATGAGAACACCAAGCTGTACAAGGAGCGCACTAAGCGCCTGCACGATGCACGGTTACGGGGTCCGAAAGAGTTCCAGGTTGGTGATCGAGTTCTCCTCTATAACTCTCGCCTGAAGCTCTTTCCCAGAAAGCTCCGTTCCCGGTGGTCTGGACCGTACACGGGCACACAGGTGTTCCCTTATGGCACGATTGAGATTGCTGACTCGCTTCTACTGTCACTCCAGGAATTGGCCAAGTGAAACCACTTCCTGAAGCGTAGTATAGTGGGTTTAGGTTTATATATCAACCCGGGTCCTAGATTTGATGAATACTCACTGAATTCTTGTTATCTAGCAATGAAACTTTAATGCAAGTCTAAACTAACAAACTAACAAAGCAAGTAAACGGTTGTATTCAGGTTAAGAGAGGTCACCCGGATATGGTTCCCCCTAGACTGCAGTTAAGCCGGATTGTAATTACCAAGTTCAGTTTCTATGATAGTTATACTGCGGAAGGTTCTTAAACAGCCTGAAGTCTCGACTAAAGGTCTTCAGACCCTCTCAATCTGAGTCTCTAGCGGGCGACTAACCTCCACCGGAGTAAACAGGTTGAGGCCCTATGAACAAAACCTCCACTACCGAAGTGAATCCGGTACAGAATAGTGAGTTGGCTCCTCGACTAAAGTCACCAACTCCCTACCTTTAATCAAGGATGCTCTATCAACCTAGGCAGATATTCTCATTCTAGGTCAAAGCAGAAACAACAGGAATTCGATCAGGATTCAAGTCATTCAATCATTCAAACCTCAATCAAATATAATCAAATCATAGAATTAGTACTCGGGTTCATACAATCAAAGCCTAACATACAAATCTAGGGTTCTCCATACCCAGATGAATGGGAGAACTACTCCATGGAGAAAGAAGCAAAAGCAGAATCAGACGCGGAATTCATACTGTGAAGGATGGATTCCTGCTCATGGACGTTGATCGGCACTTCTCCAAGCTCAAGATGGCCTCCAATGGTGATGAAGATCAAGCTAGGGCACTTGGAGACTCTTGTTCGTCGCTTTCTCTCTCTAGGAATCGCTCTGTCTCTCTAAAACTCGAATCCCCTTCTGTTTTGGCTGAAATCTGCTTAAAAGGGCATCAGTGGCCAAAGCACGGTCGAGGGCACGGCCGTGCTTTGCTTCAGCCCGCCCGTGCTTTGGCTAGGGTTAATTACACGGCAACTGTGTTGGGAGAAACACGGGCGTGTTTGATGATGGACACGGTCGTGCTTTGGTGGACACGGCCGTGCTTTCAGTCCGTGTTTGCAGCTTGAATTTGCCAAACTCAATTAGCTCTCGGCAGTAAAAGCACGGCCACAGAACACGGCTGTGTTCTGTTTTAGGTGTGCCCGTGTTTTGGCTCAGCTTCACCGAATGACTTCCGATTTCCCCAAAACTCGTGCGTAGCCTTTCCTTTGACGCATGGGACCTGAAATATGACAAAATAGCACAACCCGGCGTAAAATAGGCCAAAAATACACGACTATGCCCCTCAAACGGATAAGAACTAGTGGCGCAAATATGTGCAATTACATCGTTATCAAATTCCCCCACACTTAACCGTTTGCTTGTCCCCAAGCAAACCAAGTCAGACACAAGGTAAGCTCAACAACAAGGCATGACATATCGGCACAAAACACGTGGATCATACTGGCTTCGATCAGTAACACATGGACAACTTCAATGACAACCTAGACAACCACCACAGATGACATTCGAATGCAGTAAAATCGAGCAAAGGAAGAGTCTCCCTTCTGTTCACCAACCAACATAGACTTGACTCAACCACTTATTCAAAACAGTCACTTCATGCACAAAGTTCAAGATATCAGAATTAAGACCGAGCAATCTAGGTCCTCGCCGGGATAAAGAGTATAGAGAATAAGAGAAAATGAATCGCTCACTCTCGACCAGTGGGGTCAGGACAATATGATGCGAAAAATGCGCATGCTTAATCTCTCAATCCCTAACATCTCTTCATCATGAATGCAGCCTCTAAGTGCTAGAGTTCACATATGGGGTGTCATCACTAACTAATCCGGAGGTCTTAGACACAGGTTCAGATGACTGGCTAGGGTCTTGGACATGGGGAAAAGGCCTTTTAGGTGGTGGAAGTATTCATACAGCACAAGGTTCCACATTTCCAAACCCAACAGACTCACAATCAATCAAACCAAAAACTTTCTTTCTGCTATTCTGCATTACTCAAGTTCAGAGCACAAGAGCGAAGGAGGTTACATAAATGCTAGTATTTCTAAGCCAGACTGCTAAGAAACACTACTACATGGGCATTATTCAGATTTTTGGTGGTAGCTCTCTTTTGCTTTCTTTTTTTCTTTGATTTGCTTTCATTATTTTTCATTTCTTAAGAGAACCACCACCTCTGCACAATTTCAAACACCTGCCCAACTTTTAAGCACTACCTCCAACCCTCACATTACGTTTAGCAGAAACAGCAGAGAACATGTAATAATCACTCTGTGGAACCTTCTAGAAGATGCAAAAGGGTGACTTTTAATTGAAGACCGAAAGAAAGGAAAACACATGGCTCAAAGGGGCTGACTAGGGGTATGACACACTAGGACAGTCAATTTGGTCGTGGGCTAATCCTATGCCTCCATCATCTTAGCTAATGACAACGTGAATGCTGCACATCATGGAAGAGCAAACTATCGCACAAGAAAGAAACGAGCAGGCTCAAATCACACATGGCTACCTATATGCTCTATCTCTCGTTCTGATTCCCTGAACTAGATGCATAACTGACTGTCAAAAGCAAGTGATCAAACCAAGTCACATTTGGTGAGCAGACAGTTGAAAAACTGAACCCCTACACAATTCTACTGCACATCTCAGTCATCACAATAAGTTGTCTAAGTCACACTCAAGTTGTCATGTATCAAGTCAAAAGTCATTCAATTCACTAATCACATCCACATTGCCAATACGATCAATCATCAAGCACACATCCGTGCTTGGAGCCCTCAAATCTCAAAATTTGGACAGTGGACTAGGCTCCAAGCACACATATATACATTCCAATTCATACAAAGCACCCCCCCACACATAAACGCGACAATGTCCTCAATGGAGCAGAGGGAAGGGGAACGATGTTACCGTGAAACAGTGGTCAAGAACGTTGACTGGATGGCGGACCAGTCAAAAGAAGGAGGCACAGAGCTAGAGACAACAAAAACACACACACTGGGTGATAGGAATCAGAGTACCAAGTCTACAATCCAAGATAAAAAAAACAAAACAAAACGAAACCACAAAACACGGAGTCTCAGTCTGGAACACAAATCAAGCACAAAACCCGCTCTAGAAGGCATCACCACCATCGCCGGTGGGTGGAGGGTACTCATCCTCAAAACCTGGGGAATGCACGAACGGTTAGTGGACCGCGTTCGGGTCCAAGGCCAAGTAGGACATGATGTAGTGCTGCCCCGACATGAGACGACGCTCTCGGTCCCGCTCACGATCACGGAGGGTGTGGATGCGCTCCTGGCCGGCCAGGATGCGCTCATTCTGCTGTGTGATCGCCGCCAACTGGTCAGAGATGGGCACCACCACTGGAGGAGGTGACCCTGGAGAAGGAGACCGGGGAGCAGGGGAGGGGCTCGTGGGGGCCTGGGCACGACGGGGAACGCGACGTGGAACTCGGCGCCCACTAGCGGCGCTCAACTCGGCCTGGTCGCCCTCGGCAGGTGGAGGTGGCTGAGGATGGCCCGCGATCTAGCGCACACGCCCGTGGCGAGCAACCAAGTGCTGGTGGCGGAGAGTAGCCTCGCTGAGTGGGGTTGGCCCACGGACCAATGTCATCCCTGTGTAGTCCACCCCGTAGTTGCGGGCCAAGGCGGTGATCACTGGGTCACAAACGAGGCTGCGGGTCGAGCTGATGGCTGCTTTAGTGAATGTCCGGGCAAGCACAGAGCCCAGCTGGATGGTGTCCTCAGAACGACCCATCGCATGCATCAACCAGAGTGTCCGGAGTGTGACCCGGTTGGCCGAGCCCTTGCTGGGTGTGTAGGAAGTGCACATCAGGTGGTTGAGGATCCGCCACTCCGGACAGAGGAGAGCAGCCCGCGTCTGGATGGCCACGTACTCTTCATCCACACTGTCCGGCAAGCAAATGGACTGAAAGTATGCCTGGGAAGCAAAGTCGGTGGGGTCGAAGAGGTCCAAGCGTAGGGGTGGCCCGCCTGCTGCCCGTGAATTGAGACGAAGTGCATTGGCGAACTCCCAATAACTGAGGGAGTGCTCCACCCCGCCGAGTGTGAACTAAACTGCATCAGGATGGTCGGAGTTCCCCTTCGAGTTGTGGTGGAAGGTGGCGTAGAATTCCCAGACTAGCTCCTGGTAGGTCGGCTCGGCGAGGGTGAGAAGACGCCGCCAAGCAGAGGAGTGGACCACGGCCTCCATATGTGGCCTGGCATGAAGTTCATCGAACACCTCCCAATCGAGGTGCAGGTGCTCGGCGATGCTGCGGTTACGGAGGTTCCGCAGCTTATGGCGCTGGATGATGTTCATCTGGTCGAGATAAACCTCCATGATCCTGCAAAACACAATGAAGGAGAAAGTGTACACAAGCAAACGAGGTCAATGTTAGGCCAAACCCACATCGGGAGCCCTCATATCGGAATATATGGACAGCGGACTAGGCCCCCGGTGAAACAAAAATACCCATCATACGAGATTTACACAGCAAAATACACCGGGGACCCTCAAATCGAGCGATTTGGACAGTGGACTAGGCCCCCGGTGAAACAAACATACCCAAACCCGTATGAAATAAGCACCAATCGATCCACCACACAAAAAACCACACTAGCCCGCATACAATGCAACATGCAATCATCCCAATCAGCCCCCAAACCCAAAATATTCCCAAACCATTCATTCCACAATCAGAAGTTCTTCACCTAACTCTAGGTATCGATTCTCCATAAATATAAGAAAAGACAAGGAGAACACACCTGGAGACGCAAGAAGAGACCACGAGAGAGGTGAAGAAAGTGGAAAGAAGCACCCAAAGACGCTGGAAAACACACCGGAGACTCGCCGGAAAACTCACCGCCGGCGACCCAACCTCGGCCAAACCATCCCAAATCTTTGGGGAATGTGCTTCTCGACGCCAGGAGCGTGGGGGCGCTCGCGGTTTGTGATTTGGAGGTCGGGAGAGGAAGTTATGGCCGGCAAATCGAAGGAGAAGGTGAAAGGGGCAATTTTCCGGCAAGAGGGGGCTGAGAAATTTGAAAAAAAACTGATCTGAAGGGTTTTGGGGCGGAAAAATCGAATTTATAGGGGGAGGGGCGAAACACGGGCGGGGCAGAACACGACCGTGTTATGCCTGCTCCGCGCCCGTGTTTTTATTGCCGAGGGCGAATTGCTCAGCTAATAAAACACAGGCGGGCTCTGGTCAAAACACGGCCGTGTTTTCAAAGCCCAGTGCCCGTGCTTTTTATGCCGAGGGCAAAATGCAAAACATGAGCGGGCAGGGGGCAAAACACGGCCGTGTTTTGGTCCCCTGGTGCCCGTGTTTTAACTGCCGAGCCCAAAATGCTTTTTTTTTTCAATTTTCAATCTCAAACCACCAAGATTCATTCGTGCCCCGGCTCTAAAATTTACCCAATCACACATTAAAAAGAACCGCCCAAGGCACGAAAAACTTTCCAGACTGACTCCAGATAGACTCAAAGACTCAAAAACCGACAAAAATGAAATGAATAAATAAAAATAAAGGGTAGAAATGCAAACCGTGGTGGGGTTGCCTCCCCACAAGCGCTTGTTTACCGTCTTTTAGCTGGACGCCCATGGTGCATACTCAGGGAGGTGCAGGAACAGGTGCCTCCAAGAGCGGATCCACGTCGCTCTTGAGGTACAGCTTTAGGTTGTGGCCATGCACCCGACGGATGCGACCACCATCATCAGTCAGCTCGACCTGGCCATCCGGCAAGATGCAGGCGAGTGAGTACCCGGACGGCCAGGGTGGTCGTGGTGCAGGAGGTGGGACCAGCTCATAGTGGTCTCCACCCTTCTTCCCTGCATGCTTAGCAACCTGCTGCTTCAGCCGCCACTCCTCCTTGAGCTTTTTGTTCGGAGGTAAGGCTGGATGGAGTGGCGGCGAAGGAATAATAGGAGGGTCCTGCAAAATAAGAGGTGCAGAAGGGTACACGACAGGCTCGTGTACCTGATCAGAAATGGCATGCACAGGCGTGACAGCAATCATAGCACAGTGATCAAACTCAGTCACAGAAAAAGTAGCATGTTCATTCCCAGCACGCAGGATCAGTTTACCATCATGCACATCAATAAGTGCCTTGGCGGTGGCAAGAAATGGTCTACCTAGAATCAAAGGCACATCCACATCCTCATGTATATCAAGAATAACAAAATCAACAGGATATGCGAATGCACCTACATTAACTAGCAGATCCTCTAAGATCCCCCTAGGATGCACAATGGAACGATCAGCTGAATGCTCATCCTAGTAGGGCTAAGTTCACCTAGGTCTAGCTTTTTATACAACTTATATGGCATGACGTTTATGCTAGCGCCTAGGTCCTCCAAGGACTTGCCTACATGCATGCTGCCAATAGTAAGAGGGATAGTAAAACTCCATGGATCCTTGCACTTTTCGGGCAGCTTGTTCTGCAAGATAGCAGAACACTCCTCGCTCAGCAACACTGTCGAGAGATCCCCAAGCTTCTTCTTGTTGGTGAGGAGATCTTTCATGAACTCCGCGTACTTGGGCATCTTCGACAGTGCCTCCACAAACGGTATGCTGATGTTGAGCTGCTTCAACATTGCCATAAAATTGGCAAACTCAGTCTCCAACTTGTCTTTGTGTAGGCGAGTTGGGAAGGGAAGCTGAGGTACATGCT